TCGTGTGACTTGAGCATCATCTTAGTAGATGGTACTTTCTAATTAAAGGATTTAGTTTGATATGAGAAATTATGGATTATATCAGTCCTTACTATTTTTTCCTTTTTCTCTTGTTTTTTGTATATTTTATCAGTTAAGTTTAATGTATTTTACACTATACCTATTTATTCCTCTCTTTTTTTCTACGTTCTGTCTTTTTTTTTCGTTTTGTTTCTGCCTCATAGTTGCTTAAAGAGAAGGGCCTCCTACCAGAACTCAGACTTCAAGTAGACAACATTGTGTGTGCTCTTGATCATGATCTTCAAGGACCAGCTGCTACAGTTGCTACTATTCTCAGACAGAAAGGCCAGAGTGTTGATCTAGTCTTGGAAAACAAACCACTCAAATGGTATTGAATTCTATCATTCTTGTTACTATGTCATTTCCGATAGGTGCGGAGATGAGCAGGGTCAGATGTTTGAATATTTGAGCTTGGTTTACTAAAAAAAATAAGAGGTCAAGATTGACCCAAAGCTCTATTTGAGATTATTTAAAACTTAGATTTGGCTCATAAAAAAAGAAATATAAGGTTTTGAACTTGATTCGACTTTACCCTGGTAAAAAAATGAGCCTAGCTGAGTTCAACCAAAAATTGATTAGGTACAAATTCGAATTTATAAAAATAATTTTCATATAAAATTTTATTTGTTATTAACAAAGTTAGAGGATTTAAAATATATAAATATGTAAATATGTACAAACATAAAAATGAATAAGTATACATTTATATTACAAATTTAGAAATGGATAGTAATATATACTAAATGATCCTTGCATTCGATTCAGGACTCCGTTAGACTGCCTTTTTCTAAAAGGACCACCAACTGTGCATGAACAAGTTTGGTCCAGTGCAAGTGCTTTTCTGAGATAAGTTCATTGAATTTCAGGGTGTTCAGGCGGGCAGCAAGGATAAATGCAAGCAGACTAATACTGGTTGGAAAGATTGAGTGGCAAAAGGGTATGGTTGGTGTAAAAGTCCTCTCTTCTGGTGAACAATATGAGATTAAACTTGATGACCTTGAGTGAAATTTTTCTTGTTTATCACCACATTAGATCTAAAATCTTCAAATCAATTGTTTCTTTCTAATTTATTTATTTGTATCTATAAATTTTTGTTGAGACATTAATAAAGAAAATGCTAACAATTGTTTTTGCTCGAGTCCAATTATTTATTCGATTTGCTTTTTTATTTTGCTTCAGACACGAACAGTCTTCTCTAAGTGCCTGTTCTTCATCTCCACTATGGTTAAGGTTGCTAAAAGTTGGTATGGAATGTTACACAATTTTTATTTTTGTCTACTTTGAGAGGAGGTTATTTCTCTAGTTCATCAAGGGATTGTTGCTCATGCAAAGAATAATGGTTTAGGTCATCAGTTGTTAGGTTTTGCTCTCTGATCAGGTTAGAAATTGGTCCTTGCTTGGTAAATGCTTTCTCCTTGAAGTAAGTTTGTCTATACAGTTGAATCCCCTTTATTTGAAGAGAGCTACCTGGATGGAACCATTAAATGCTGTCCCATTTCATCTTGCGTCAAGGTTGGTATCATGGATGAAGAATGTTTAGAGGCATTAGAAAGTTATTTCATTAGTCAAGGAACAGATACTTCAAATCCAAAAAGGAGCATGAATTCAACTGCTTGATAATGTAAACTACTTGTATCTGGAAAGAGAACATCTTGCCAAATATATATTGCATTTGGTTTTTGTTTTTTAAAGATCTGGAATTTTGGTTATGATTTTGTGGACTGCTTATGGCACCAGCTGGAATGAAATGGTTATAATTATGAAGCAAGTCTCTTGGAGTTTGTTTTGGGTTTGCCTGCAGATAAGAGTTTGATCGTGTCCTGAAGTCTTAATTGAAGTTCCAAACTTTTTTATTTGACTGGAGGCTAGGAGTGTCCCTGGATTTGACTCGGTGTTCGGGTTTAAATGTTACTGGGAGTGTATCTTTTTCTCGTATTTGTTCAAACAGTAATGTTGACTTAATTATGATGTCTACCAGATGTTTTTCTGGCATTTATTACATGTCTACGAGACATTTTTGTTTGATTTTATTTTATATCATGCTCAGCATTGCAGATGCTACTTTTTTACTTGACCCACTTTACCACTTGTGTTGCATTATCTTACAGAAGTGCGTTACTAGTTATATTTAGGCTTTAGCAGTTTAAGCTGTCTTGACACAGCAATTATGGAGACTTGCAATATCATATTTATAAAGTTTTCCAGTAGTTCTCATTATGGACAAGAATGCAGACGTAAAAATAGTATAAGTTGTGATAGCTTGGATTAATGCAAGTGAGATTTTTGTCTTGTGATGGCTATCTAGTAGTTCTGAATGGTACTACTTTTGGTGATGGTGCTGGTAGATTCCTGGGACTGTCTTCTATTTCTAATTGGGTACAACTAAATCCCATTGTGAAGAATGCAACAGCTTGCAATAATAGATAGATCGAGAAATAATCTGTCCTGAAGAGCAAGTTATAAGTTGCACAATAAAGCAAATCCCTTTGATCAGCTCAAAGATATGGTTCCTGTGGGTAACAAATGTGAAGACTTGAAGTTACAAGTCAAATTAGCCCACGGGTAAATTCCAAAGCCCTTCTTGTTTTGTGTGGCTTCATCAATTGTTATGTATCTCGTTGTCGTTGGCTAATTTGGGTTGCTTTTCTTTGGGATTTGATGGATTTTTGCAGTGCTTCACATTTGGTGGTTTTAATGGGGTTATTTACAGTTGCAACAGAATTTGGTTTGGTCTTTAAACTGCTTTCTGCTGTGATTTAGTGGTGAAGGAAGAAAATTCCTTTCTCCAATTGGAAATGGTTCCATTGCTGTTTTCATTTGCTTGGTGGTACTCCCAAGCTCCTTGGTGACAACCCATTCATTGGCCCAGTTTGCTCCTGGGGGAGGCCTATACTTGCAGTCTTACTTTGAAGAATTGACGTCACATTCGCGAGGAGGATCTGAAACACCAATAAATGGGGAGACATGATCAAAATTGTTGGATATTTAGTCAAAATCTCATGGGAATGAGGTTATAAGAAGACATGAGGATGAGTAATTTGTTGCTTTATCTGGGAACGCAAACTGTACTCAAATTAGTAATGGTGTCTTGAGTGGAGATGGCTATTAGCTTTGTCAGTTTCATTTGTGGAACCAAAACACTGGTTGGTATGAGTATGCAGTAGAAGAAGGTGACAGAGTTGTGGATTATCTTACTCACAAAGAAAAATACATAGACAACATGGAGCCTCATGAAGATGGATACCTCTACATAAGAAGAAAATTAGTACTATATGTGATTCCAGAGTTAATAGATTGATGTAAAATGAGTTTTTGTTGGCTTCTCAGAGCATGTTTTCTTTTGTCATCTTCTTGAAGATATTAGCAAGAGTACATGACCAGCGGTGCTGTTGATACCTGTATGCCTCAGAAGGTACTTGGAAGCTCATTCTTGATATAGCATGAGAGAGAAAATGAAGAGAACCCAAAAGCCAAATAAAGGAGAAAAAGAACAGGAAAGATGAGCAACATGAAGGTGCCATTAAGTTCCTGACTTTGGAGGCTAGTATTAACTGCAAAATCCATGTCTTCCACCCTGGTCTTGTTGATCCACCCTCTGGTATTTTATATTGCTTTGACTCATTCACAATCCCTGTAAACTTATTAGATAAACTTCTCTTCAAGTTTATATAAAAGATTTATGGTGTGAATCACCACGGAAGCTGAAGAAGGAACAAGTTGAAGAGCCGAGTTGTTGATCTATGCAGAAGTGTTAGGCTGAAGACATTTCTTGTTGCCGAGTCATAAGGCATTCTACCACGTTTTCTAGTACATATCATGCACCACAAAAAGTAGTTACTTAGATCGGTTGTAAATTTTAAGGATTACCAAATCTCCATTTGGCTGGGACCAGACCTAACACCAAATTGTGAAGCAAATAGGGAATAGTCCTCCGAAGAAAAT